CCCTTGCTCGCGCGTGAATCCTCTCCTCTCAACATTTCCAAATTTCTTTCAAGAATCCTTCATCCAAGTAAGTCATGTCTCCTTAACAATGTATTTCCTCAGTGTTTCTGGATTAAATACCTAGTTTTTGTCTTGACTGGACGAGTCTTGGATGAACATTCACGAGTTCTGCAATGAACACTCATGAATGTTTATTGAAGTTCATGAGTTTATGATGTCGAGGAGAATCTCCTCGGGCAGTGGTCATGATGTCGGGGATGATTTCCCCGAATAGTTGGGGTTGGCTCGGGCTTTTTGCCCGTTTGACTGGATATCCCCACCAAAAGTGTAGTCCATTTTAGTATGTAGTCGAGGGCTTGGGTCGAGCTTCGCTCCTCGTCCGCTTTATCACCCTTTCACTTGATCTGCGGTGGAATGGTGAATTTGATAATGTCAAATCCACTGTTTTCCCCTGCTTTTCAGGTATAAAGACACACTCGACTGGGGATGATGTCCTACCCGTTCGTCGAGGGAGGGCTGCGTCCTGGTGTCGCAGAGGATTGGTTGGTCTGTGATTCCTTGGGTTGCGGGCTTTGTTGGCAGCTTCCCTCTCCTCGTAGTCCATGTAGGCCCTAGCCTTCTCGAGGAGAGCATCAAATGTCTGGGGTGGTTCGATGCCAACAACCTTCCTGAACTTCGTGCCCAGGAGGAGTCCCCTCTCGAGCAGATACCGTTTCATGTGATCGGTATAAAGGACCTGGATGGCCTCGCGATTGAACTGATCTATGAACTCCCTGAGGGTCTCGTCGCTTCTTTGGACGATAGCCTCGAGGGCGGCCTCAATCTTCGGGTGTCAATGAGACGCTGTAAAGGAGCTGATGAACTGGTTTTTCAAGTTCCTCCAGAAGGTGATCGACCCCGGGGGAGATTTTTGTACCAGTCCATCGCAATTTTCCTCAAGGTCGTGGAGAACAACAGACACTTGATTGGTCCCTGACGTTATGATAGTGGAGCATTGCTTCGAACCCGTTGATGTGGTCGAATGGATCGACAATGCCATCATACTCCTTCAGTTGGGGAGGCTTCTCCATTCTTTTAGGAATGGGCGCCTCCATGATTACTTGCGATAAAGGACCGCGTGGGTCGTCTTCGTCGCTCTTGTAGGGAGAGTGGGAAGGAGACTTATTGTATCGACGGTCGTGGTGGTGTCCTTGGCCTCGGGGATGATCCCTTGGTCGAGGATGTGCTTCTTCGTGGCTGTTTCTGTTTTCAGGGGCTCATTATTCCCTGCACGGGGGTGAGGCCGTGCCTCCCGGTAACCTCAGGCATGGTTCTCTCCAGCTCGGGGAATCTACCAGTTCGTCGGGGAGAGAGGCTCTACGACCTGTCTTGTCCGTGTCTCCGCGGGGGAGATTGAAGATGATCTTCATCCTGACGAGGAGGATGGGGGCTTCGTGATCTATCTCGTCCGTGTCTCTGCGGGGGAGATTGAAGACGGTCTTCATCCTGACGAGGAGGAGGTGTGTCGGGTTGTCTATGTCTTCTAGGGGCTCGACGAGAGTCCTTGAGCACCCTTAGTTGCTCACCTTGCGCGAAAATTAAGTAATTCATCTGGTTAATTGCTGCGAACAGGGCCCGGTCGTGGCATCAGCGTCCGGGGGGACGGGGACTTCCTGGAAAGCATTTGGCTCGTAATTCTAGGGCAGATGGGCGCCCTCATGCGGTCAAGTGCGCGATGAGGAAGAGGCAGTTATGTCGTCTCTATAATTCTGCATGAGACCAACCATGTCGCTGCCGTTCCCGTTGTTGTTGTTGTTGCCCATGTGTTCGACGACATGGTTGTTGGGGTCAGCGAGATGGGCGTCCAAGATGTTGTTGACAGCTGGGTCGACCATGACGATCAAGAATTTGGAGTTGCTTTTGTCTTAGTTAAGTGAATACGGGGAAACTAGTTTCTCACAGACGACGCCACTGATCGTACCTGACCAGAATGATCGTCAAAGCCTTACGTCGAGCTGAGGTTGAAAGCGACATGAGGGGTACCTGCAAGACACTCTAATGCCAAAGTAAGTTTCAGGGAGAGTGCAAGCAAGTGTGAGTATGAGTATGAGAATAGATACCTGACCCTCTCAAATGAGAGGGTATTTATAGTCCCCAGCGCTGGACCAAGGTCCCCATTGTTGGGCCACAATGAGGTCTAATAATGAAGACTGCCAAAACTTACGTGTGTATAGAGTTCAACAAGTTAACTCCCTCTTGGTCAACTGCTCCGTGAGAATAGGGGTTGGACCCGTAATTTTCAGAGGATAGTTAAGATGACAGTGACGCGGACACGTGGACCACGTTCTCCAACGAATACGTGGGGAGTTGTCCAACGGTCCTTCGCTTGGATTGGACCTCCCAACCGTGGGATATATATATATATATCCTTTTGCCCAAACCTTTTAGCTTTTCAACCGTAAATATGTCTTATCAAAATAGCTACTAGTCTTTCATCAATAGTTTTTAAGTAGTATATCATTGTCCTAGTATATCCTTTTGCCCAAACCTTTTAGCTTTTCAACCGTAAACATGTCTTATCAAAAATAGCTACTAGGCTTTCATCAATAGTTTTTAAGTAGTATATCATTGTCCTAGTATGACTTTCCTATATGCCTATGTGAAAAATAATTGGAACTTTGATAATCTAATGTCTGATGACATATGACCATGTAAGATACTAATATTAAAAAGAAAAACGAGATATAAATTTATTTTATAAAATAAAATGACAATAATAATAATAATAATAATAATAATAATAATAATAATAATAATAATAATAATAATAATAATAATAATAATAATAATAATAATAATAATATAATAATAATAATAATAATAATAATAATAAATAATAATAATAATAAGGATACTCAATTGATATATTTATTAATTTAAAATTAATTATTTATTTACTAATTTTAAAGTTTAGTTTATAGAATGAAATGATGATATTCAAATTAAATAATAATAATAATAATAATAATAATAATAATAATAATAATAATAATAATAATAATAATAATAATAATATGAATAATTAATTGATACTTATTAACTTTAAATTAATTTTAAGTACTAATTCAAAGTTTATTTTGTAGAATAAAATAATGAGATTCGACTCAAATAATAATAATAATAATAATAATAATAATAATAATAATAATAATAATAATAATAATAATAATAATATTAATAATAATAATAATATGGACAATTAAATAAAATATATTAACTTAAAATTAATTATTTTAAGTATTAATTTTAAAGTTTAGTTTGTAAAATTTAAAATTTAAAATACAACTAGATCTATTATTTAAGGTATGAAAAATTAAGAGGTTATAGTTGCGTCAACACAATAGAAGAGATCAAAGGAATCTAACTTAGAATTTCGTGTGAATTAAGAGGAGTTTCTCTATAGATGGTGTCACTATTCCAATGTGGAACATGAATTAGGTGATGCAACATGGAAGTTCACGGTGGAAGTTTTTTAGGATAGTGGAAATATTCTTTGGTAGGTGGAGAAGGGGATGTTTTTGCAAGATTAACACTCCAACGTTCAAGTCACTTATATCAGAAAAATGTAACTTATAAGAGTATAATGAGTTGTACCTTTGTACCTTGCCACAACTTGAAACCACACTTATATATGAGTGACAATTAAAATTGCACTCGGTCAGATCGACTACAACGACTAACATGGGCCCGATGTGTGACTCTAGTGCACGATCCCTTAGTGAGGGTCTAGATGTTCGCCAATCTTGAGTGGAAGAAGATTTTGGTTGTTTGATCAGTGTGAAACAAATTCCATTCAATTGTATCACTTACCATTATATTCTTTTATCCCTTTTGATTTGGACCGAATGAAGAATTTATCCTATTCGATCGTAAATATTAAAATAATAAAATAGAATCTTTAATCCTCTCTATTCCATTGGTTCATTTCACTCTATTCATTTTCATTCCGCTTTATTCATTTTACAATATTCAAATATAACTTTTTAATCAATTTTTCACATTTTAGCATTATTATAACTATACATAAACAACAATACCATTCACTTATAAATCTGTTACACTTTAGTACATTGATGAACAAATGATAATTATATTAATTGAGCTTACAAACCTTAACAAATTCAACAACTTAATCAATTTTATTAATTAATTACTTTTGTCTTTAGACTTGAACTACACTTCAACAAATATGAGATGAGAGGTCTTAATAATAATACAAAATTTAAAAATAAATGAGACAAAGGGTATTTTAGGAATTATAGTCATTCAAATTGGTTTGACATTTTTTGTAATTATGCTGGAGTAGGAGGACAGAAATGTAATTAAGGTGTATAAAAGAAAGTTGTTCTTTCTTGTGATTATTGACAAACATTGCATTGCATCCAGGGTATGGGAGCATACATACAGCTTGCACAATGCAGTTCATTACATATAATGATCTGATCTGGCCAATCAACAAGATAAAAGGTGACGAGGAATATACCACTCGAGGGGACCTTCACGATATCAATTATGAATTGAACACATGTTATATGACTAGTACTACCGACTAATGACGTGTTTATATTAATACTATACTAAAAGACTAAGATATGGCCACAAATGACGTGGCTAACTACCCTCTACACTTCACTCTCCTCTCAACTCAAACTAAACACTCACCACCGTTCATTCATTTCACTTTTTTCTCTTAACACTTCATTCGCATAAATAAATAAAATTAGATTCCTTTTTCAGAAGCAAGAAAGAATAAAATAAAATAATAATATAATATAAAAAATCTCACGCGGAATGCGACAGAAACGGGTTTTGCCTCCCTGAACCCAAAGTCGGCCCTGTGAGGCAAAGAACGAAGAAGAAATAGAAACCGTTCTGTATCTCATTCATGCTCACACTTCTCCTCCTTCTTCTTCTTCATTGAACCAATCAACGATCAATTCAAATTCAATTGGTACAAGAAAATGGCTTCCAAGCTAACAACGTGTTTCGTGTGCTGGAACTGTAATAACCACCTTGATAATACTCGCGTATCGCGTTCTCCGTTTCCACTTTCTTGCAAAATGCCACACCGTATTCTCAGGTAGGTATCAATAATCTCCATCAATTTCTATTCAATTTTCGTTTTGTAGATTATTAGGTAATCGATTTTGTTTGTTCTATTCAGTTCGCAGCAGAAAAGACAGTATCACAAGAGAACTACATCACTGCCTTCCATTGACGGAACTCTCAAGCCTAATCATCGTCATAACTCCGATCTTAACAACAAGCTTTCTTTGAATACTCCAATTCTGCTGCATGATAATAATTCCACACCATCGGTATCTATCCCCTTCATCTGACCTAGCAATTTATTATTCTTTGTTATCATAAATTCTATCTCTATTCAATAGGATAAAGTCACTTTGATTAACTTTCATTAAGCCTCTGTTTGGATAAACAACTTATATATAAGTGCTTATGAATAAACTATTTCTATACCATAAGAAAATTAAGTCAATTTGTATAATCTATAAACTGTTTTCGTAAGTTATCTCGGTGAACTTATGAAAATAAGCTGACAAGTGAAAAACATTTATGAACAATGTTAAAACTTACAAGTGCTTAGGTCATTAGATAAGCTCGAATAAGCCAATCAAAGAAAACCTACATGCTTATCGTATGAGTGTTTATGTATGGCCTGATTTTCAAAGCCTCTATAAACTATTTTGAGAAGCTTAAAAAATTAAGGTGAAAACAGTTGATGAACATGTCATAAGCTGTATCATAAGTTCTCGCAACGCAAACAATATTACTAGTGCTTATGTCAATAGATAAGTTAAAATAAGCCAATCCAAACAGTCTTAGTGCTAATCGTATGAGTGTTATGTATGATCTTATTTTTCAAAGTCTCTTTAACTTTTAAGCCATTCCGAGGAGCTTATAAAATTAAGATGAAAATAGCTCGTGAAGACATATCATACTAAGTTACTTTCATGTGTTTTTCTTAACACTTCCGTATCTAAATGTTTTTCTTTACATTACCAACAAAACACTTAAATAAGTGCTATGTAATAAGATAAATTTACATAAGTGCTTATGAATACTCTCTTTGTTGTACTGATTGTTGCATGAGTAAACTTAGTTGTTGAAGATAATTTAGGAGATTAAAAAGTTAGCTTTTAGTGCAACTACTAATTATTTAATTATGAAATAGGCCTTGAATGTAAATGGTGCTGAGCAGGCTGAACAACTTTCTGGTGGTCAACTTGAGGATTTGTTAACCATGATAAAAAGTGCAGAGACAAGTAAGATATTATTCTGGAATACTTATGGGTTTCCTTTTTCCATACACATTTTCTTAAATGTCTTGTTACCCGTTATTAAGAATTGTATGTTCTCCCAGACATCCTTCTTATAAATCAGGCTAGAGTCCGTGCACTTGAAGATCTTCAAAAGATTCTTGCCGAAAAGAAAGCGTTACAAGGGGAAATTAATGTCTTAGAGATGAGGTTGGCCGAGACTGATGCACGGACTGAAGTTGCTGACCAGGAAAATACACATGTGGAACTCTTAGAGGGCCAGATGGAGAAACTGCGTAGCGAGTTGGCTCAAAAGGGAAGTACTGAAGAAAGTGATGCTGAATTGCGTGGCCCTCAAAATGGAGTTTTTAGTGATGCAATTGCAAATAGTTCAAGTCATAATGATAGGATTCGTTCCCTTACCGAGGAACTTAATTCATTAAGAGAAGAAAATGCCTTTTTGAAGAATGACATTGAATCATTTAAAGCACAACTCAATGATGTCAAGAACAATGATGAACGTTTAGTGGTATTGGAAAAGGAGCGCTTATATTTGGAATCTGCCCTAAAAGATTTGGAATCAAAACTGTCAAAATCTCCGGAAGATGTATCTGAATTGTCTACACTTAGAGTTGAATGCAAGTATTTATCGAGTAAGGTTGAAAATTTGCAAATGTTGCTAGATCAAGCAACCAAACAAGCTGAGCAAGCTGTTATAGTTCTACAACAAAACCAGGATCTTCAAAGGGAGGTCGACAAGTTGGAAACATCTCTTGAAGAAGCTAAGATCTATAAGCTATCATCTGATAAATTACAAAAATATAATGAACTAATGCAACAAAAGATAAAGATGTTGGAGAACAGCTTACAAAAATCAGATGAAGATATAAACTCTTATGTTCAGCTGTATCAGCAGTCAGTGAACGAATTTCAAGATACATTGAATATTCTGAAAAAAGAAAGCAAGATAAAGACGCAGGATGAGCTGGTGGAAGATATGCCGTGGGAATTCTGGAGTCAATTGTTGCTTCTAATTGATGGTTGGACACTTGAAAAGAAGATATCAGTTGATGATGCAAAGCTTTTGAGAGAAAAGGCGTGGAAGAAAGACAAGACTATTAGTGATATATATATGGCTTGCAGAGGACAGAATGAAGATGAGGCTATATCTGCATTTCTTGGGCTTACATCATCTGCAACAAGGTATTTATTTTTAATTGTATGTTGCATTTAATGTATCTTCCATTCTCTAATGCATCCCTTACTTTTTATCTTTAGTCCAGGATTACATGTGATTCATATTGCAGCAGAGATGGCACCAGTGGCTAAGGTAATTTCAATGTATCCTTATCCCAATTTTTATTTGTTGTAAACTCATTTTATCATAACCCTGATGTTTTTAGTTCTTTCAACATGATCTTATCCCCTCACCTACAATCCGTTCTTTGACTGTAATAATCAACACCCACTGAAATGATGCTAAGGAGGTGTGGCAGGAGCATCTTACACTATGTAAATAAGGGGAATACTAGGTGCAAGTTCTGTATTGAAATAAATTTTCAGACACCCTTAAAACAGTCTCACGGATTTCTTTCCCTCTTGCCAATTTTTGAAATCTTTTTGGGAATTAGGTAGCATGTCGTTAAGAGTCAGCCACTTGTACTGATTTATACCATTAAGAATAGACTTCTAACTGCAACATCCCAGCTCTATGACTGTGGAACTTTGCTTTAATATGATAAAAAATCTTATTGTATTTTGACTCTGTCTTAGATTATCTCTTAAAATTAGTTTCGGTATTTCCTTGTAAGTTGTATATCATTATTTGTTTTATTATTTAATTAAGATAAAAAGTTTAGTATTAGTATGAATAAGGATTAGTGTTTTGTCTTTTGTAATAACACCCAATATATCATTTCTGCCATATATCAATATAATTTTTATTATTTTCAGTATACCTTTTCCTCCTTTTATACCTGAAAGAATAAATCTTTTATAACATTTACATGGTATCATCATCCTTAAATAAGTCCTGCCATGCCACCATAATACTGTGAGTTCCAAAAAATCTAGAACATTGCGGTAATAATGATTAATGTTATATCTCCATGATTATTTTCTAATGTCAAATTAACCAATGAAAAAGGAGTTAAAAAAATCTATACTAGAAATTTGTGTGTGTGTGAGTTGGTGAGAGAGCTTACATCAAAGGAACGTCCCTAACCGCAGATGTAAAAAATGCACCAACAAAGAGACTCACATGTCACACGTGAGTCACTTGTATTTCCTTGTCTAGGCTTTATTTCCAAATTAGTGTAGTCACATCCCATGTGATTATCAAAGGTTCAAACCTGTATTTCCTTGTCTGCAACTCTGCATGGGGAGAATGTCCCTTGTAGTAATTTTTCGAATCCATTGAAGTGATGCTTTATTTTCAACTTGGAAGTTAATGTGTAACACCCTTTATTATGCTGTCAACCCAAGATATTAGTTCTTGAATAATTCTCAAATTATTAATTCCAAATGTTACAAAAATTTCGTTCAGTTTTACAATGTGCATATGAATGGTGTATGTGGGCTAGGCTGTTGTCTAAGTTTGAACCACATTGGGTTTGTAAACAGACCTCAGGTGAGTTTTTGCTGATTGAATTTTGGGATTTGGTTAGAGATGAGAAAGGCCAAGTCCTTTGGATGCATATGAAGTTTGTAGGTTCATGGATCATTTGGTCAGACTGAACTGCACAATCCTCAAGGGTATCTTGTCAACCACTCAAAACTTTCCCAGAAGGTTGGTCATTTGGAAGATTTCTTGAAGAAACAAACAGATCATGTCACTGAATTTACTCTCAGATCAGGGGATTCTTTTGTCATTAGTAGTATTTTTTCCCCAATGGAACCCGTAGGAGTATTCCTTAACTTAAAAAAATTCAACATGATTAAGAAGCCTCCCTATTTGATTCTTTCATTATACTTTCCATATTGGTCTTCCTTGGATGGTGCATGATCTTCTGCTTTCAACTAATCTGTTTTTCACATTACATACTAATATTTAGATTGAATTATTTCTTTAACAGGTTGGTGGCTTGGGGGACGTTGTCAGTGGTCTAAGTAAAGCGTTGCAAAAGAAAGGGCACCTTGTTGAAATTGTTCTTCCCAAATATGACTGTATGCAATATGATCGCATTGGTGACTTAAGAGTATGCTATTTACTGAGAAAAGAATCAAAGGTGTTGATGGAGTATTGGGATTTGGTATCTTCAACTACTTCTGATGATTTGATTATTCATGCAGGCTTTAGATGTGGTGATAGAGTCATATTTTGACGGTCAATTATTCAAAAATAAAATCTGGGTTGGCACTATTGAAGGTCAATTGTTGTTGAATATTTTCACTTAAGTTGAATGTCTTTATATGGCTTACTAACTTCACTTTGCTTATGCAGGCCTTCCCGTTTATTTCATTGAGCCCCATCATCCTGATAAGTTCTTTTGGAGAGGAGACTTCTATGGCGAGCGTGATGATTTTAGAAGATTTTCATATTTTAGCCGTGTAGCACTTGAGTTTCTTCTTCAAGCTGGCAAGAAGCCAGATATCATTCACTGCCATGATTGGCAGACAGCATTTATTGTATGATCTATCAAATTGCTCTTACCAAACTCTAGCTATTTGAGTAACTTACAGTCTAAACGTTATTGTGATGTTTTGCCAGGCTCCTCTATACTGGGACGTATATGTCCCAAAAGGATTAAATTCAGCTAGGATATGCTTTACATGCCACAACTTTGAGTATCAAGGGACTGCAGCTGCTTCAGAGTTGGAATCATGTGGTCTTGATAGCCAGCATCTAAATAGACCAGATAGAATGCAGGACAACTCAGCACATGATAGAGTCAATTCTGTCAAGGTATACCAATAAGATGATTATCTATTCTTCCATTTTTGAACAAATATAACTATATATGTAATAGTCTACCTTCCAATGGCCAGGGTGGAGTTGTATACTCAAACATTGTAACAACAGTGTCCCCTACTTACGGGCAAGAAGTGAGAACTGCAGAGGTATTGTTCATTTCTTGTTCTTGCGCATATTAAGTATTTTCTGGTTATCAAAATATCAATTTTTTAATTAATGTAATAATAAAGCAAGCAGCTCACATGATGGAACAAGCACAAGGTCAACTTTGAATAACAACTTTCCCAATAATTGCATCTATGCTGACTAGATTGTTCTAGGAAAGGATTGTAAGAGAAATATAACCATTCAAATACCTTCATCTAAAACTTTCAGGAGAATTGGCAATTGACATAATATTTGGCTTTTGAGTCTTTATGACCAAGTGGAGAAGAATTTGATCCATGCTTACCTTTTTGATTGATCTATAATTCCAGCAGTTTTTTCCGGTGGGTTAAGCTTTGTCCATGCTTAAAGTCAATTGGATTTCAAGTGAGGGGGTTGTTATAGATCTAAAATCATTCACGAGCTTTCCCTAATAACTTAAGCCTTTTGAGTATTTGATTCTTTAAGAATAGACAAGGGCTTTGTTACTTATAACAAATGAAAGACTATTGCATTATGTTTTTGTACTAGCTATTTGGCATTTTACATTGTGACGTGCTATATGAGGGTACTAGAATAGGGCAGAACGAATTTGCTATTGATCTTTGGATTCGATAGTATATCTTCATACGGAAAAAATTATAGAGAATTACACATTAGTGCTTTTAAGTTTGAATTAATGTATAAGCATTCTTCATAACTTTTCAATTTTAAAAGTTGGTCTTGTGAATGATATTATTGTACAAAATGCAGGGAGGGAAAGGTCTCCATTCAACTCTCTCTACCCACTCCAAAAAGTTCATCGGTGTTCTTAATGGTATTGACACTGATATATGGAATCCTGCTACTGATCCATTTCTTGAAGTCCAGTACAATGCAAATGATCTTCAAGGGAAATCAGAGAATAAGGAAGCCTTGAGAAGGAATCTAGGTCTTTCTTCTGCAGATGTTAAAAGGCCATTGGTAATTTTATATCCTAATTTCACAGGACAATTTATTTGATACAATGTGTTATAGTTTGCTCTTCACTCTTTATTTTTTTGGTTTTGAAATTGACACTATTTTATTTCATTAAAGATTCAAGTTTTTTGTCAGTTTTGCTTTTAATCCCCCAAAATGTGACCGAAAAGCAGAGAGTATGCACATTTTTGGCCTATCGGCCTTGAGATTTTGGGAGACTAGATTGGTTCTAGACAAACCATACGGAGGTGGTCACAATCTAAAATTTGGCCTGAAACTTTTTCCAATTGCAGTGAATATTGGCGATGGTTGCCAAAATATGTGAGTTGTGAGGGATGCCACGATTGAGTTAACAACTTGGATAGAAGGTATTCAGGCCAGAGACGTCACAGTGTAGGAGATATAAAAAAGCCACTAAAAGAAAAATAGCGCCCATAGTTTGTGTATATACAACAAAAGCGAAAGAAATACCAGAGTTCAAAACTTTAGGAAACTCAACAGCAGAAAAGTGATAAAAGCATTGAAACTCTGATCATGAAGGATGGTCCTACCTGATACCATATTGACATTATATGGTCTTAGATAAAGCGGGAAAGGGTTAAATACTTTGAATTATGTTTATGGCTTTGTAACGATGTCCGGAAGACTAAGCATTGAAACTTGTTTATACTAATTAGTCCCCTAATCCTAATAAAATAGGAAAACAAATCATTATAACAGTTGTTATACTCTAAGATAAGAAACTAAACCTAAGAGATATGTTTGTAAGATAATGACAAGATATTTTTCATATCATCTAACACGGTTAAAAATAGTGTCGAAAAGAGGGTGTTAATTACTAGAGTTCCTCTTTGCACTTTTAACATGCTTTACCAGCTAACTCCCTCAAGTTGGAACATATAGGTCATATGTACGAATATTTTTACATATATAATTTAATCGAGAACCTCTTTAAGAGTTAGTGAAAACACCCACCAATTGATATTCAGTTGACAAGAACTAGTGTTAATATTTCAAAATAGGACTTTACCTCTGAAAAATGGTAACCAATACTCCCAAAGTCTAAGAATTTACATATTTTTTCTGACAAATTATAAATTCCTATATTCTATTCAATTAATGTTTGGATGTTGCTTTATGGTCTCATTTGATGCTTGGTTGGCAGACAACTTTTGTATATATATGGTGAACAGTCTTGACTTGAAATTTATAATTATTTGTTACTCATTTAGCAATTAATCATTCATGAATTATTCTTAGAAGTTAGAAGTGAATATGCTTTAATGGCTCAATCTTTCTATTCTCTTACATGATAGGTTGGCTGTATAACAAGATTGGTTCCACAAAAAGGTGTTCACCTTATCAGACATGCAATATATCTAACATTGGAGCTGGGAGGTCAATTTGTTCTACTTGGTTCAAGTCCAGTGCCACATATTCAGGTCATATTTACTTCCCTTATAGATGAAATTGAGAGTATTCTACTCGATTTTAGAATGGAGACAATTAAAACAATATAGGAGAAGAAAATCATCTTAGAATATAGGTGGAATTCTTTCAGAAAAAAATTGTATTTTACATAGGTTATGTTTTAGTGAAACTATATAACAAGAGGACCCAGTATCCCAAGTTGTGGAAAAAATAATGATACTACTATTTAGTATTTTGATGACATGTACTTAGAACTAGAAGCTAATTTCCAAGTGCAAATTAAATTCTATTAATCAAGAAAATCATTAGTTAAGCCACTAAATTGGGGTATTGGTGTGAGACTTGGGTAATTTGCGGCATTAAAGGTTCAGACATCTTAATTGTCACTGTAACCAAAAGATAATACATAAATCTGGGAAATCATGGAAGCACAATAACTGAACTGGATTATAGCTTACGGATCCATCCATACATTATATACTTGTATGCATAGGTAAGGGATACAACATTTTAAAAGAAAACTATGGTACAAATACAGCAATCAAAATATAATAATGATTTTATATTAAAATCATGCTCAGAAAAGCAAAATGAAATCAGTGAAAACTTCAAAACAGCAAATAATGATTTCTATACTATAAATGAGGGTGTATGTGCAGAACAGACAAATAATGAATTCTATGAAAAGGAATATTATGGAGATCTGTTTATTTATTTTCAACTGTTTTGGAAGTAAACTGTTAATGAAATTGGTTTTTCTTTGACATGCCAATTCATTCTATGCATTCTTTGTCAACTGATTATCAGTTTTCTCTTCTTTAGAGAGAATTTGAGGGCATTGCCAACCACTTCAAGAATCACGACCACATAAGGCTGATATTGAAGTATGACGAATCTCTCTCCCATACCATTTATGCTGCCTCTGACATGTTCATCATTCCATCAATCTTTGAACCTTGTGGCCTAACGCAGGTAAGGCTGTTCATTAATTTCAAATGTTAAAATTACTTACTATACTATACAATGATTGAAGCAAATCCATGTTTCATTTTTACGTGATACCTGTTTCCAGTAAATAAGTACTTTTTAGAAAACTGTATTTTTAATTATGTGTATATATTATTGGTACTATTACTAAGAAAGATTTATAAGAGAGCTTATTAAGATCTCGAGATTAATGATATGGATAGAAGCATGTTCTTTGATAGAACATTATGGCGAAAGTTGATCCATGTAGCCGATCCCGCCTAGTGGGATAAGGCTTAGTTGTTGTTGTTGTTGTTGATATATTATTGCTACTCTATGATTAAATGATATTCATTTTGTCAAACTCAATTCATAGTTACAATTCATAGTTACATGTGCCGCCAAAATCCATTTTCCACACCTTAATGAAATAAAATGACGTGATAAAGAATCCAACTGCGCAAAGATGGTCATATGAAAGTGAATAAAAAGTAGATATAATGGAAGGGCTAAATCCAGTTCTTTTTACTTTATTCAATTTCCTAATTTCTGTCCTGCAGATGATATCAATGAGATATGGTGCTGTACCTATTGCCAGAAAAACGGGTGGCCTAAATGACAGGTTAGCATAGTATGACATGAAAAAGTATTTCTTATTTCTGAAGATTAACTAAATTCTGTCTCATTTTGCAGTGTTTTCGACGTTGATGATGATACAATACCTTCACAGTTTCGAAATGGATTTACATTTTTGAATGCCGATGAGAAGGTAAAATAAACTATCACCCCATTATAGTCCAACACCACAGATAATAGGTAAATGTGGTAGGTTTCGCCCACCTCCTTCTTTAGATGGTACTAATTTAAATTATCTTTTGAATGCAATGTTCAATTTTTTCTTCTTCTGTATTTAATGTACAAGAGAATGTGAGAATGAAGTCCTAATTCTATTTTCTTAACATATAGGTTTAAGTCTTCGTAGCTAGGACTATGAGGCCCTTTTAAAATTACGAAATTAGGGGTCTTTTAAGGGTAGTTAGTTTTTACAATATTAAACAATACTAAAATAAATATGAAATGTATTAAATGTATCCATATGATTGAATAATTTTTTGCTGAATTGCTAAGTAACAAAATCAGTGAGTAAAATTTACACTGGGAAGCATAAAATGATTAATACTAAACATTAACAGAGAGACATTTTGAGACTTAAAGCAGTTGTTTTATTTACAGCCTATTTGGGGCGTACCTTCCTTATTTACCTTTCAACGTTATCAGTCTGAGAAACATTATTTTATGCTGTTTATTGTTTTGGTAAACTCTAACGAGAAAATTTGGACAGGGAATAAACGGGGCCTTAGTACGTGCTATTAATCTCTTCAGGAACGATTCCAAAAGTTGGAAACAACTTGTTCAGAAGGACATGAACATAGACTTTAGCTGGGATTCTTCAGCAGCACAATATGAGGAGCTCTACTTAAAGTCTGTGACGAGAGGAAGGGCAACAAAACGCGCTTAATTTAGCAAAATGAGGCTTTCATGTGTAATCCGTTCAATTGTCAGTTTCCTACACAGGTGGGAGATCATATTTAATGCTCAACCAGCAAGGTTTATCTGCGCATACCTGCCTTGCAAGAATATCTCGAATTGAGAATGATTTCAAAGATTACTTTGAATGGGACATGGCTGCTGAAAGTGTGCTGCTAGATTAGTTTCCATGAAGCAGCATTTCTCATGCATTTAGGTGATATTCCAACTTCACTATACATAGCAAGATTGTGTAGTTATTTTTCTATTGTTTCCATGTTCTTATAATAGGTCAATTGGTCAAAGATGTACAAAGCCATACATGTAAAGCGTTACCACTTAGTTTTCTACTAGAAATAATGTATAATTTAATAAATTACAAAACAAAATAAATGTCCTTCCAATAATATATCATCTCGCCTGGTTATCTTCCGGTGATACTAAAAGTGCATGCAAGTTTTCTATCTCTCTTCTAACTTTTTCTTATCACGGTTTTAGAGATGAGTAATGTCATGCCACAAATGAACGGAGTTATCACGCTACAAACATAATACAAATAGACCATATGAACTTATGTAGGATACCTTATGCTAGCAAGAACCAAATTTTAAGGCATCTTCATGAAAGATTATAGCAGTTATAGTAGTCCTTCAATGATAAAGAAGTGAAAAACATTTGTGGCACTTGCTTTCAAAGTGTCTAACTTCAACATGCCGTTGAAAACAATGATTTTTTAACAATTATAGTTATCAAGTTCAGTATGGTGTGGTGGATATTTTTGAATCAACTTAATTTTATAAAATCGATTTGAACTGCAAATGAGTTTGAAACTAAGTATTAAACTATATCTATGAAAATATTTTTGCATTTGACTTATACCAAATAAGTTTTTGGTCCTCTAAATATCTCAAATTTTGTTTTTAGTCTTTCTAAATTTTTCCTTCAAAGAATGATCTTTCTAAAAAAATTAAATTTTAACTTTTAATCTCTTTTAATAAAATTATAGTTAAAATGATCTCTAATTCAATCGCTAAATAAAAAGTATTGTTAAAACCATCGCTAAGTTGTAAAAAACATTGCTAAATTTCAGGAAAGATCAAAAGTTAAAATTTAATTTTTTTAAAAGACCATAATTTTTTTAAAAGACCATTCTTTGAAAGAAAATTTTAAAGAAATTAAAAATGAAATTTGAGATATTTATTTATTTAAATTAACATGAGATTCTTAAACACTTAAAGAATTGTTTGAGGAAAATATCCAAGAAGAATTAATGCCAAATGAGAGAGATTCATTCTAAAAAGAGAATCATCAACTAGACCAGCATTCTTTAATATATCTCTATTGTTTTCTTTTATCCCAAAAAATAGGAGATTTGGATTCCTAACTTTCAATTCTTTATCTTTTTTTAACTTTCTCTCTCATAATTTACTTTCTTTCACATCTTTTTCCCTCTAAAATAATCATCATTTCTCTTTTGTCTTTTTCATTTTTTAGAGAATCCTTTCCCAAAAATAGGAGGTCATTACTAATGGAAACTTTGCACCTACAATAACTCAATATGATGGAAAGACGGTTGAAAATCCAGACTAAGAATATTTGAGATACATTGCTAAAAAAACGTTTTCCAGACTAAAAACTCCGAGTTGAATTATCTTTCTCTTCTAAAAATTCATAACATAGATCAGTTATAACTCTTCCTAAAAAAACTTAAACAGTGGGCTTTTGATGCAAATGTATGCATAATATTTTCATTCTTGAAACCAAAATCTTCACAAAGAATCTGTCATAAAAAAACAAACCAGAGAGGAAGGTAAAGAAACAACAACAAACACAAAGCCTCCTCAGAAACTATATGGTTGTTGAAGTTGGGAGCTGAGTGAGTGCTAACTAACACAGTCGCATAAACACACAGCATGTATATTCTTCCACTGCAACCATTTGGAGGAATTCCATTTCTACCATTGGCAAAATCAACATTGGTCAAAGTAAAATAAGAAAGTTCATTTTTTGTAATACTAAATTTTACTAGTTTATCCAAATATAAGATGATAGTTCATTTTTAAATTATAGAACCATTTCATTGTTTATTGAAAGAAATGGTTCTATAATTTAAAAAGTGGTTGTTGGCAGTCATTTTTACATGAATGAGTGTTTGTATTAACTGGCTATTATTGGATATTTCAATCTGATTTAATCTTTCAAATCTTTAAATCTACCAGTCAAAAACATGAAACATAAGTTCTATACGGTAAAAAAGTAATCACCTCATTTTAGTTAACCTAAGCAAACACACAAGATAACCATAATAATTCACATGAAAATGGGAAGAACATTACAATAACTATAACATACTTCACCAAAAACATAAACATAAGAGTGTTCACTTTCCGGGAACAAAGTTGGTAGCATATGACCATGCGTTGTTGTTGACTGGATCGGCAAGATGATCAGCAAGGTTCTCCAAAGGACCTTTTCCGGTCACAATAGCTTGAACAAAGAATCCAAACATGGAGAACATAGCTAACCTACCGTTCTTGAGTTCCTTCACCTTCAATTCTGCGAATGCTTCTGGGTCTTCAGCTAAGCCTAATGGATCAAAGCTACCACCTGGGTAAAGTGGGTCAACAACCTCACCAAGAGGACCACCAGCAATACGATAACCTTCAACAGCTCCCATCAAGATAACTTGAGTAGCCCAGATGGCTAGGATGCTTTGTGCATGGACCAAGCTTGGGTTGCCCAAGTAGTCAAGTCCACCCTCGCTAAAGATTTGAGATCCAGCCTTGAACCACACAGCTTCGCCGAATTTAACACCGTTGCGGGACAAAAGCTCTGGGAAGACACATCCCAAAGCTCCCAACATGGCCCATCTAGAGTGGATGACTTCAAGTTCACGGTTCTTGGCAAATGTCTCTGGATCAGCAGAAAGTCCAGCAGTGTCCCAACCGTAGTCACCTGGGAACTCTCCGGTCAAGTATGATGGAGACTCACCGGAGAATGGGCCTAAGTACTTAACACGGTCTGGTCCGTACCATGGGCTGCCAGAGGAAGCTACTTTCTTGGTGGTAGCAGACTTCCTCATGGTGAACCTTGCAGCTCCCAATTCTTGACTTGATGGGATCAGCTTGACTGGCTTGCCAGCCAAGGTGGGGGAAGAGAGAGCCATGGATGATGCGGCCATTGTTTATTGCAAGGAAATTGAAAAGGTTTGTTATGATTTTGATAATTGTGCTCTATGAATGGTGATTTGGTAAAGTGAATATGAGTGTGTATTTATAATACAGATGGAGTTGATATGCTCTTATCTTGTGTTATCTAAAGCTACCACCATCTTATTGGAAGTTGGAGATTTCTTTCTACACTTGGCACGTTTCTAATCCACTTATGGGTTAGATTCTTCATATGATCTGTAACCAATGTTGGTGTTCCATGTGTAACTGAGAGATTCTTATAGATATATCAGTGAACATTTTATTGTATCAGAAAATTGGCTTAATTTATGAGGCTGTGATTTAAACTGACTCAGCAGTGTAAGATGTATTTGGGTCCACATGCATGTTGTGGATATTGGTTGTGAACCACAAAGTTGAAAACACGGTGACAGTAATGGACCAGTGCATGTTCTCATTTTTATTTCAACCAATCTTAGAGCAACGTGTAATAATAAAATAAGATCAAGTAAGAAAATTTGTGAAAAGAACCAAGGCAGTTTTAATTCAATACTAGGAATCTATTGAAATACAGCAGTACTGGTATATGGTTGAGTGTAACCACATAAAGTTGATGCCTTAAGTTGCTGGAATTGTTGCGCAAAGGTGATGAAATTGAGGAAGAAGAGATAAAAATGATAAATGCTAAAAGCTGTTACTAATGATTGACAAAAGGAATTGTTGTATTAAATGAAACCTAATACATCTATTTATACACGAAAATAGTAAAGATAAGAATGTCACATAGATCCTAAAAGAGAATATTCAAAAATAGCAAATACTAAATTACCCTCTAATACCATCCCGTAATTTAGTAACTATCAGAAACTAACAACACCAATTTCATTTCTCAAATGAAAAAATTGGTCTGTTTTTATTGCCTTCGTCAGAACATCTGTCAGCTGCTTCTGAGTGCTACAGTGCAGAACTTCTAACACTCCTTTCTGCAATTGACTTCTCAGAAAATGATACTTCGTCTCAATATGCTTGCTTCTTCCATGCAGCACTGGATTCTTGGCAAAATTGATTGCAGACTTATTATCAATCAACAACTTCAGATGTTTCTCTATCTCAATCTTCAAATCCTCCAGAAGATTCAGAAGCCAAACAACTTGACATACAGTTACAACACCTGCAATGTATTCAGCTTCACACGTTAACAGAGGCACAACAAGCTGTTTCTTAGAACTCCAAGAAATTGGACCTCCCAGAAACTTGAACAAGTAACCAGAAATACTTCTTCTGTCAACTCTGTCTCCACACCAGTTAGAATTAGAATAACTCACTAATTCTGGTTTTGTCTTTATTCCAGAAGGAAATAGCACTCCATATCTCAGAGTTCCCTTGATATACCTCAGAATCCTGACAGCAGCTTGGTAATGAGACCACTTTGGTTTACTCATGAATCTGCTAACCATTCCAACTGCATAGCAAATGTCAGGTCTGGTATTGCACAAGTATCTAAGAGAACCAACCAACTGCTTGAAGGTCGTAGCATCCACGTAATCACCATCAAAATCAGAATCCAATTTATGATTGGTTTCTGATGGTGTCACACAACTTTGCAATTCTGCAGCTTAAATCTCTTCAGAAGTTTAAGTTCATACTTCAGCTGATGTAGAATGGTACCCTTCTTTGAGTACATAATCTCCATTCCTAGAAAATATATCATATTTCCCAGATTTGTCATCTCAAATTCATTCATCAAAACTTCTTTGAACTTGATTATATCTTCTGGACAACTTCCTGTTAGCAATATGTCATCAACATATATACACACCAG